TTAACTAAAATTTTATCCCTTACCTTAGCGCAATCAGTAGCGGGCATTTTCGAATTTTCGTTCTCGCTCCACCTTCAAATGGTAACCAGCTTGATCACCTATTATAATAAACCTGTAGTTTTGAAGACAATTTATTTGTTTATGTAAATGTGTTGGCTATTTCTTGTGTGTTAATTTTTCTTTCTCGCTGTATGTGCATGTTCGTGTGTTGCTGTGAGACCTTGGACAGTTGATGCTTGGCGTGTTTTAGCTGTCCTCAGCCCTCCTCCCTCCCTCCCTCCCCCGATCAACACCAGTAGGTCAACAGATCCAGGTTAAGATCCAAGCTGATACTCGTGGTTGTTGTGTTAAAGGTCCTTATCTGTCCGGCACCTTTTTGGTCATACACGGGCATTAGCAGACAACCACGCACAGAGGACTGAGCTGCGGAGGGTGCGGTCAGAACACTCAATTCCCCTAAGGTGGTAGCAACCAGAGATCGTATAGCGCTGGAAAGTGGTGCAAGACAGAAAAACGTAATTTCCAGGGAAGTCAGGCTGTCGCCATTCTTTGTAAGTTGGATTGGTTAAAAAAGATTTGGTGCGCGGCACTTGCGTGCAGTCAAGTAATTGTCATAACAAAAAGGCGAGAAATGCCCGAGTTTAATTTCCTGTGACCTTTACCTGCGCTGTCGTTCACGTACGCCTATCCACGCAATTTTTACTGCAATAATTTGTCGTTGCACAAATTCACAAAAATTGTCAGGCGTATTTGGAATTTTTGCAATATCAACGAATCAGCTCAAACAGTAGGCCTTACTATCTTATCGTTGACCGTTTCAGAAGGCAGGATAACAGTTATTATCACTAGTACAAAACAGTTATTATCACTAGTACAAACACAACACTGCTCAACAGAGGAGCCAAATTCAACTTTTAGAACGCAGGGATCTAATGGGCAATCCCGAGGTGAAGCGAACATGACCAGTCCCAATATAGACCATAATTTATGTAATGAAATGTCCTCCGAGGCTGAGTGGTTCGGTTGTTCAGCCAGAACCATTCCCCCAACGGGACAATGCTCCGGATAATATCCCGGATTGTGGTTGCTCTGTCTGTTGGTATTGCATTGGGGGCGAGTAAACTTATTCCCCCCGTTAGCTTGGGTCTGGGTATGATGTCATCCCCAGTTCCTGCGATCTGAATTCCTCTGTCCTCCTCTCCCTACTACTAGCGTCTACCTTGGAAGACTGTGTAATAATATCTCGGGCCAGCTACAACGACCGCCCCACGCCACGCGTCATGGACTACGGCTGTCAGATGAACTTCTCAGCGGTTCGCTCAGGCGTGACTTGTAAGTTCTAACGCCTCGGGCTGACGGACAGCTTTCAGTTGCAACCAATTCCGAGGCGCAGCCTCCTAATGTGGACTCTTCACCGACCACCTTTTGGGCTACAGAATTGCATTTTGTAATTGAATTTGCTCTTCCTAAATTCATTCAATAGTAAGAGCAACTTTTTCAACTTCACACCTGTCGTTGTGTAATGCATGAATAAATTTTCATTTGGAAGATTTCTTGTCGCTCTTCATTTATGCCTGCTTGAAACAAGCCTCCTCAGTGCAATTTTTTTGCTTTTAAAACAAAAGATAATTCTCCATTCGATTTTATGAATTTAGCAGTCGCATATTCGAAATCGGAAAATAATATTCGAATAGTCTGGCGGTTTTAGAAACATAAAACATTATGCCTACCATAAAAATCTACACGTGAATTTTTGGATTGAATTGTCTTAAAGTGGGGGGTAAATGACTTCCTTTATGCCTTCATTTAGATTTACTGTTCATCATTTCTAGTCCATTTTTAATGATAATTGAAATTATTATATAATAACAGAAAAGATAAAGTAGACAAAGACACAAATTTCTTGCTAACTTAAAAAAATGGTTCCCTTGTTCACGCACAAAACGCACAACCAGGGTCTGAACTGATAAAACTGTATTTCGGCTTAGGTAGATATATAAAAATTCATTATCCTCCCAAATTTGTAGATTACCAGCTACTTAAATACTTTCTAAGACTAAAGAAAGTTTCCCCACAAGTGTGGGGAAATTTTCCTCCGGGGCTTTCAGCTACCATATTGTGGGTTGATAACAGACATACTAAGGTAGGATTACATGCCTGAGTCTGGCTGATGGATTTTCTAGGTCACAGAAATGCGAAGTGTATTCGTTTTGCTGCAGATTTAAATTTACCTTGGCATAGTGTCCAGGGTTTTAATTTTTAATAAGGTTAGGGGTGCTTAGCCACCGGCATGCTTCTTCATCAAGGTATTTTAAGGGACTACATGTTACCTCTCAAGTTTTGATGTTTTTATTTTGTTTACAGAGATGTGATTTTGTTTTTAAATTTTGTTTACAGAAATTTCAAAATCTAAATATGTCACACAGTACAACTGCGTAACTGTTATTAATAAAACTCCTCAGTTCATAAATACTACCAGATTGATCCATACTACAGGTAATAAAGATACTCAGTTATCTTCTAAAATCTTTTCCAAAAAGATTAACCTTCTTTGGACTTACAATTTAAGACCACTTGCAGTGTTTTCTTGAGTACAATTACAAACCACACAGGATGCACTGCTTCGTTCACGGACAAGTGTTTAAAAAGTTGCTTTAAACATTTTCCTTAATTGGCAACAATCCCAGTGAATCGAGACAAACTTGTTCCTCGATCTCTGACGCTGTCTTTCAGCAAGACGTTTTGAACATAACTTTACAAACTACTGAATGAATGATAATGATAAAGAATAAAAATTATATACCTCCTGTCGTTTCCCATCCCAGAGGCCATGATGATGTTGTCCATAAATCGGACCTCTCTGCATTGTTGTCCAAGGGCACCAATCAATATCACTAACACAGCAGTGTCAGACGCCCTCACCAAGATATTGCTTGCTGTGTTATATATATCGGCTTCTACGTGGTAGCGTTGGACTAGTTACAGTAAATAGAGTGGTGCTCGTGAGGAGCCTACTGGAAGCACTTTGCCCCACCGTAAGAAGGCAAGCAAGGTCTTTCCACCCTTTTTCCAGTAATGATCTTACCCCACTCTTTCCAGTAGAAACTTGGTGAGTTTGTTCTTGAATACTCTATTTGCGAGTTTTTAGTCGCTCTGTTTTATTGTTTGCCATGTTTATTTGCGAGGGGACAAAATTTAGAAGAAGTCCTTCATCATTAAGCTGTATATAACTCCTCCGTAGGTCAGCCACTGTGATTATTTCTGGCTCTCAAGTCTTTTCGGAAATGCTGATTTTTCAGCTATCACATAGGCCCCCATCACAGTGTGCGAGTAACAATGTACTCAACATTGTCATCGGGTATGAGATAACACTCCGAAGGTCAAACGCTGTTTTCTTTGCTACGACTAGCATCCTACGAGGCTCTCAGCATTTTTCTTGGCCTTCTTGTGAATTTCTAATAAGCATTCTAATAAAGTTTGACAACAGTCCATGCCAAATCACGGGAAAAGGAACATCTGATTAATGCACAAGTGTCCCTGAATATGATGGACGAGAAGAACATCAGCAGAAGGGCTCAGTGATGGCTGTTGACATGCAACGTCTTTGAACCCTTTTATGATATTCTTAAAGTTTTCATTGAAATAATGAAATGAAATTAATGAAATTAAGCCATGAAATAATTGTTACTAATAACAATTTTAAAAAGGTAATATTTTCTATCAAGGCTAAAATTTGTTAACTTCAAATCTGTTTTTAGTAACACGAAACCAAGTTTATTGTTAATAGTATACACCACAATTTGTGAATTTTATATCCCTTTTTTCTAAATGATTTTTTGTACATTTAAGATAATGTAATTGATCTAAGAAATAAAAAAAAAATACACACACAAAGTAAAATAAACACAAAGTAACATCAAAGTTCCGTGTAGTACCTCTTGTAGTACATGTATCAGTAAATGCACCCCGACAACAAACAGAAATGTTTATATTTAGGATCGTTTACGTCAATCTAAGAACTAAAAAATACACACAAAAAAACATCAAAGCTGTTACACTCCCTAAACCTGTCAAAGCCAATTAACTATGTAGTGGATTATAGTCTACACAAATGCCTTCATAGACTTTGCCGCAGCAAACTGCTTTTCACAGCAATTAAAATTTTGATTTAGCCAA